TGGCACTGTTTTTTCCGCCAAATACTTCTAGCTAAAAGAAGTGAGACTGACCACCAGGACTGTCAGTAAACATCCCTTTAAAATTTCAGCTTTATAGCTTTCCTGGTTCCCGAGTTAGCAACTTACACGCAAAAAACTTTCAAGGGTCGTAAATAAGAACGACGCATACCCGGGGGTTGAACACATTAGGATCTTAGTGGATGGGGAACATTCCCTTAAAATTACAGCCTTTTAGCTTTTCAGGTAACCAAGTCAGCAGCTTACCCGAAAAAAACTTTCACGGGCCCGTATGTGGAACCATGCATACCCGGGCGCTGGGTCTGAACCTATTCAGACCTACATGAATGGGGAACATCCACTTAAAATTTCAGCTTTCTAACTTTTGGTTCCTGAGTTAGCAGCTTACCCACCAAAAACTGGCAGGTCCCTACGGGGGAACCACGCGGGTAAGAGTGCCCATTTTGGGATGCGGGCTCTACGTGCATGTAGATTAAGCTCCCAAAGTTTCAGCCCTGTATCTTTTGTAAGTCTCGAGGTTAAAAAACGCTGCAGTCGCACATACAGACACAAACACAAACAATTCCACGTTAATACGCGTTTTCTGCATTGCATAGATGCAAGAAACGCATAAAAATACTAGTTATACAACCAACCGCATACTTCGAATTTAAGCTGATCCAAGAATTCGATATAAACAAAAACACCGCAGAAAAAAAATTGTGTCAAAAACTGATAAATAATAAGGGAGAAACATACCCATAAGCATTAACCCAACTGAGAAGCTGAACTAATTCATTTTTTTCCAGTTTATCGGAAGCAATTTCTCGAAGCTGAAATAACATTTTGAGAAAATCTCATTTTCGTCATTCGTATTAAAAACTAACGAACTTTTTCCCAATTCTGTTCCAGAAATCTAAGCACATCCAGTATTTACTCTGTGTGACGCAGAGCCATTTCGAAGCAGCCCTTGCGGTAGAACGTGCACGCCGTAACCACCCGCTCATAAAGCTATCGGCGGCTCGCTTTTTCGAGGCTTGCCTAGATGCAAAGCTGATGAGTTAACTCTTTCTAGCAAAATAAATAGCAACGCGCACCAGACTAGCCGGTGCGATCATGCGCTTGTGCAATTCAGCCCATCAAACGATTGCCTATTAATGATTTTCACTGCTTTGTACTTTAGTCTATGCAAAAATAGTTCAAACATTAAAGAAGACCAGACAAAAATTTCACGCACCAGCGTATGAAAACTGAATTCGAAACCTTGAAGGATGAATATCTTTTCGTGAGAATTTCACGCACCAGCGTATGAAAGCTGAATTCGAAACCTTGAAGGATGAATATCTTTCCGTGATTTCGATTTCATGCACCAGCGTATGAAAGTTGAATTCGAAACCTTGAAGGATGAATATCTTTCCGTGATTCCCCGCACCAGCGTATGAAAGCTGAATTCGAAACCTTGAAGGATGAATATCTTCCCGTGATTCCCGATGCACCAGCGTATGAAAGCTAAATTCGAAACCTTGAAGGATGAATATCTTTCCGTGATTCCCGCGTTAATAGTTAGCGCATGAAAGCTGAATTCGAAGCCTTGAAGGATGAATATTTTTCCTTGATCCCAGAGTTAATTTTTTTCACTGCTTTGTACTTTAGTCTATGCAAAAGTAGTTCAAACATTGAAAAACAGTTAAAAATTTCACGCACAGCGTATGAAAGCTGAATTCGAAACCTTGAAGGATGAATATCTTTCCGTGATTCCCAAGTTAATAGTTTGGCGCATGAAAGCTGAATTCGAAACCTTGAAGGATGAATATCTTTCCGTGATTCCCGAGTTAATAGAGTATAAAGTTGAATATGAAACCTTGAAGGATAATATCTTTCCGTGATTCCCGAATTAATAGTTTATCCGCCAAAATTTTCACGAGCCTTAAAGCTGAAAATCTTTATCCCGAGTTAATAGTTTATCAGCCAAAATTCTCACGAGGCCGTAGGTGGTACTCGAGAGCGCGAGGACGCTGAATTTGAATGGGCAAGGTTGAGCGGGGGCAGAAAGTCATTCCCCTAAAATTTCAGCCTCCTAGACTCCGTGGTTCCCGAGATATTAACTTACCCGTGAAAAACTTTCACGAGGCCGTACCTTACCCGCGAGTAATGGAAGGCTGAATTTGAATGGGCAAGGTTGAGCGTGGGCAGGGGGTCATTACCTTAAAATTTCAGCCTTCTAGACTCCGTAGTTTTCGAGATATTAATTTACCCGTAAAAAACTTTCACGGGGTCGTACGCGTTACCCGCTGGTACGGGGAAGCTGAATTTAAATTTGCGGGGTCACACGTGGGTGGGGA